AGGAAGGAAGGAAAGAAGGAAGGAAAGAAAGAAGGAAGGCAAGCCACCGAGAACTAAGTGGTGACCAGTATGAACAAAAGTTCCTGGAAAGAGTCACATCCTCAGCTGAACCTTCTGCAAAGCTGATTAAGGGATTTGAAGTCCCATGATGTTGAAAGATCAGAATGTTGAAAGTCCAGAGCCAAATTACCTTGAGCCATCTTTAGTAGCCTTACTAGCCTTTAGTTAGCTACCTCTGTTTGTGACCAGGATATTCAAGACAAGCAGCAGACATCGGGGGTGGGAGGGTGCGAGGGCCCGCGTGATGTTTTTACAAAAACACAAGTACAGAAAAGGCAGCACGAAGACAGACAGAACTGTGGCTTTCTAGGACAGGGCAGAACTCCAGTAGTTCTGTGGAACTACATGTGCCATACTTGAGCGAACCCAACAGAGCATCATGGGAAACACACAGAACAATCTCAGCCTGCCAGCTCTCACATCCCACTAACAGCAGAATGGGCACTTCCTATTGTTTGGTGTGGAGAAACCTTCCTGCTCCTATGGTACACATTCATTTCATATATTAATGACAATACGGTAATTCCAAGCAGTAAAGACTGATCTCAGAAAAATAATCCTTTCCACAACCTTGCCTCCCTGCAAACAGGCAAACCGGCAGATATTTCACTATGAAGCTCATAAGCAAGTTTGCAACAGACACTAACAGAGCTGAGACTCACTCCTTCCTGCTCCACTTCCTGTGCTGTGGTGCGCAAATGTGTCTGTCCTAGATTGTAAGACACCAAGCCATGCATTTGCAGTGGATGTGCATGGATAGGCATGTCCATGCACGAGGAAGTGGCTAGTAAACCAGTTTCCATGGTAGCCCCAATGTCAACAACTTTGCCCTATCCAAAGACCTCAGGTCTCCATGCCAAGCTCTCCCTACCTGTGGAAAGTGGTAGAATGTAGTTCTGGTACGTTCTCCTTTACCTCAAGCATTCTCCAAGGAAGAAGGCTCATGTGAAAAGAGAAGAACTCATAGATTCTCTGTGTGTAAAAAGTTAATGCCCAGTCCAAATCCAGAGACTCCTGCAAGAGAAAATCTCAAGTCACAGCAAATACCTCACAAGTGGCTTAAAGTGGGTTTTCCTTAGTTCCCCTAATACCTAACTTTCCTGTGTTCCTCGGCTGTCAGGTAAAAAAGGATGGCTTTAGTTTTAAAACTATTGCTTTCATGCAGTGGCATCTTTCTTTTCATATCCCACTCTGATATGCCATGACCTACAGTCATTTTAATTCCGTTGTGCTATGTGGAGGTTTTGAGGGGTGTCCCCTGCCCCGCGGAACCCTTTACTTAGTCAGTGGGTGGCATCCAGCAATTGGGAACACAGATTCTCTGTGGAGCTCTTGACACCAACCTAGAGGCAACAAGGAGACAAGAGAGCACACGGGTTCCCAACAATCTGGTGCCTCTGAAGTGAGTAATCGCCTGTCTGGGGACTTTACTGGAGCTTTGTGCCTTCGGGGAGACAGCTTACATGTGAAGCTGGGGTGCCATGGGAGCCTGCAGAGAGAAGCTGGAGGTTGGCTTCAGTCTGCCTTTAGGGTTCGCTGCCGACCTCCAGCGGCCAAGGGGTTGAAATCCAAGAACCACCCTCCCAGGTAGTGGTGGGTATGTCTTTACCTGGGGCGGCCACCTTGCCGCCGCCCGATTTCAGCTCCCACACCCACCCCACCAGTAGCGCTCACCTCGGAGCCCGAGCATGCCGAGGGTACTGCGTCGGTCAGCGCATCCGCCTTCCTGGTGCCCAGACCAGGGGTGGGGGAAGCAGTAGATGACGTCCCAAGTCTCAGTCACAAACCCCGACAAGCACATCCAGCTGCTGAAGCAAGGGCGCACATCTTTAAATAGCCCGTTGCAGAAAGGACTTCTGCGATTGGCCCTTGGTTGAGTGAAAGCGCCTTCTGATTGGTCACCAATGAGCTCCTCCACCTGGGCAGAGTTGAGTGTGCTGGGGTCCCAAGTCTGCAACCCAACTGGTTGGCCCTGGTGTGGCCTGAGAGAACTGACAGAGGTAACTGGGCATCCAGGAAACAGAGTTGTAACACTTCCTGGGACTGTAACACTCCTAGGCGTTCCGATGGCACCTTGCTGCTAAGGAGAGCTCCAGTCCGTTCCATTTGTCACTCCTGCATGTGATCTGTTTTTCTCACTTAAGGTTGTTGATCCTGAATTAACTATAAAGTGTCTCCCCTTTGAGCACTTTCCTGTCTGCCCACTTCATTGTTGGGAAGGGCAAAACAAGAACTTGGTAGGAGATAGAAGATAGTCGACAACATCAGTTGTCCCCTACAGAGATGCTCTCCCTGTCTGAACAAATGGGACCTGGTCCAACCGCCTTATTTACAAAAGACAGCAACCCCTGAAGTTCTGAAGCCCCAACAGACTCTTGTCATGGTTTGAATATAAATATCCCCTGAAGAGGCGCCTGTGTTGAACTTGGCATTGACGAGTGGTGTGAAGTTTTGAAGATATTGTCCACTTGCAGGAAATAGATAATTAGAATTATGCCCTAGAAAGTTATACCTTTTTTAAAAAAATAAATTTAAAGATTCATTGATTTACTCTATCTACATGTATACCTGCCCACCAGAAGAGGGCATCAGATCCCATTATAGATGGTTGTGAGCCACCATGTGGTTACCTTGAACTCAGGACCTTGGAAGAGCACCAGTGCTCTTAACCTCTGAGCCATCTCTCCAGCCCTGGAAGCTCTACCTTTTAAGGATTTCTTTCTTTCTTTTTTCTTTCTTTTCTTTTCTTTTCTTTTTTTTTTTTTTTTTTTTTTTTTTGCTTCATGGTTATTATGAAACAGCTTTCTATTCATGCTGTTACAATCATGGTACTCGGCATCACTCTGGCAGCTGACACAGGAATCCATGGATGGAAAAATCTGGAACCATGAGCTGAAATATGTGTCTTATACTTTATTTTATTGTTTATTTATTGAGTCATGGTCTTGGTGCAGGGTTTTTGGTGAGTGACAAGCCCCATCTTACCCAATGAGGATTGCCCAGAGTTCTAAGACGCCTGCTCCTCAGAGCATCAAGGCTCCACGTAACAGTGGCTCCACGTTTGTTGTTGTAGGGCAGTCAGAGTGAAGATGGAGACCGTCCTGGGAGTAAGCCAAGTGGAAGCAGGCTTTACTGCAAATTATTACAGGAGACTGGAGTAACAGCTCAGCGGTGAAGAGCACCAGCTGCTCTCCCAGAGGACTGTGGTTTGATTCCCTGCACTCACACGGCAGCTGTAACAACCATCTGTAACTCCTCTCCTGGCGATCCATACCCCTCTTCTGTCCTCCCCAGGCACTGCACACACATAGTCAAACAGACATACATGTGGGCAAACATTCACACACAGAAAACAAATAAACTCTTAAAAAAATTGAAGGAATTATTACAGAGCAGTGAGAAATTAAGGAAAAGTGAAAATTAAGGAAAACTGAAACTCCGGAGAGAAGAGGGGGTTTCCAACAGAACAAAGGACACAGATATCCTTTATCCAGGGTATAGATAGAGCAATGTATAGAAACAAAGGTGAGGCACAATTGTCCTTTCGTGTATCGTTTCTTCTTCTGCAACTAAGTTCAACAGACTTCCATGTAAGGAAGCTGATCTCATAAAAGAGAGCAGAAGCTGCATAGAGCCTGAGGTGATCTCTACTGGGATTGGTTAATTCTCTTGGGCAAAGCCAATGCAGTGTCTGTGTGCTGTATGCTTGACATCCTTATCCAACCAGGGAGATGATCATGCAATGTTCATGTGCTGCTAGCCAAGTTAGGGTTGAGGCCTCCCTCCCACAATACCCCTCCCTATTCATCTCTGACTCCATCTTTAACCTTTGGCTGTTAGTCACTTGGCCACTGTTACTACACTTTGACCTTGCAGGCTCCTTGGGTGCCATTGACTATACTGAGCTCTCTTGGTTCTCACATTTCCATGATCAACTTCTAGCATTACCATTGCAGAGTGTTATCTACGTCTCAGCCACCAAGGTATAGCTGTGGTCTTCATGGTTACCTCATAGTTAGCTCCTTGTCTCCTGAGTGGTCTGGGGACATCTCCTAGATGGATGTTTCTTTCTTTCTTTTATTTATTTATTTTTTTCCTTTTATTTTATTTTACAATACCATTCAGTTCTACATATCAGCCATGGGTTCCCCTGTTCTCCCCCTGCTCACCCCCTCCCCTTACCTCTAGCCCACCCCCTATTCCCACCTCCTCCAGGGCAAAGCCTCCCCCGAGGACTGCGATCAACCTGGTAGACTCAGTCCAGGCAGGAGGTGGACGTTTCTTGTCAGTAGTCATCTTTACTTAACTAGGCTACAAGTAGTTTCATTAGAAACAAGGATATAGTTGCTGTGGAATATTGTTCTGTATACTATGAATGTGTGTTGCTCTGATTGGTTGATAAAAAAAAAATGCTGATGGTCCAGTAGCCAGGCAGGAAGTATAGGCAGGATAAGCAGACAAGGAGAATTCTGGGAAGAGGAAGGCTGAGTCAGCAGTTGCCAGCCAGACACAAAGGAAGCAAGATGACAAGGCAGAACTGAGAAAAGGCACCAAGCCACGTGGCTAAACAAAAATAAGAATTATGGGTTAACTTGAGTGTAAGAGCTAGTCAGTAATAAGCCTGAGTTAATGGCCATACAGTTCATAATTAATATAAGCCTTTGTGTGTTTATTGGGGCCTGAGAGGCTGCAGATCAGGCAGAACACAGGAGAAAACTTCCAGCTACAAATAATGTCTTCTAAAAATAGAATATTAACAATTTAAATAATAATATAGCTATCTATAGCTATCTACAACTCTCATTTCATTCTTTATCTGAATTCTTTATTCTCAACATAGTTTGTATTTCTAACAAAGTAAAGATAATCATTTATACATATTTACCTGAAAGTCAGAAAGACAAATTTCTTAAAAATACAAGCCCAGAATAGATTTATGAGGTTGTCATTGCTAGGTATCAGAAAATACCTAAGCAAAAGCAAAGCTCTTGTTGAACCTTCTGGATATTTTTCTTTAAAGCCACCATGGCTCTTTTTGTTGTTGTTGTTGTTTTAAACAATAACTCCCTCCCATCAAAAAGTGGTGTTTCTCTGCATTTCAGCTCTCCTTCTGGCCTGGTGATTTGTTTTGGCTGGGATAATGTAGCAGCAAACACATACCATCAGCAGAGTCACTGGGAAGCTACCCCTGGTAACCCTGTGAACAAGCTTAGTCAAGGTGAGCATAAACCCCTTCAGAAGAGGGGTCCCAGCCTCCCCTCACATCCCACCCCACCCAAAGATGATAGCAAGGCCAGATGCCACCAAGTTGAGCAGAGACTGACAGACCAGCCAGTTCTATCCCTACAAAGTCGTCAGCAAATAAATGACTTCTTACACAGAAATAGCTACTGAATTAACCCCAAGTTCCTGACAAAGGTCTTTACTCTGACTCAGTTTTCCCGGTTCCAGAATAAATCTTGTCTTTACTCTGTCTACCACAAAGGATTTCTGGGTTCTGATTGCTTGCCCCATCATGTCACTCACTGTGCAGGCACTACTCAGGAGACTGCACTGTAGTCTAGTGGCCACTTGATTATGAAATAATTGTATATGATTAATGTTGAGGTAATCATTTAACAGAGGATTAATAATGTGTATTAAGATTTCCCAGCTGTAGCTATAAAATACTGTGCCTTTTAGCACCCGGGAATGGCATGATCATACATGGTCAAGAGGTTAAAATCTATGTCGAGATCCAACCAAAATCAACTTACAAATGAACCAGAATATGTAAAAGGCTAGAAAACAAAAGCAAGAAGAGAGAGACATTTTATGCAGTGCTGTGCCCACTGGTAAGATGCCCATCTTTCGGAAAATCATCTCCCACCCATGCTCATCTAGGCAAACACAGTGGGTCAAAAACTAAGAAAATGGGGCTGGAGAGATGGCTCAGTGGTTAAGAGCATTGACTGCTCTTCCAGAGGTCCTGAGTTCAATTCCCAGCAATCACATTGTGGCTCATGGTCATCTATAGTGGGATCTGATGCCCTTTTCTAGTGTATAGGTGTAAATGCAGATAGAGCACTCATATACATAAATTAAATGTTATCATTTTTACTATTTTCTACAGAGAAAATATTCTTCCAGTTCCAAATAACTCTGGACTTAAGAATTACTACTTGTGTTTATGTTAAAAAAAAAAAAACATTTAAGTGGAAAATGCTGAAGGACCACTGAACTCGATGTTGTATTTACATATCTATATCGGTATAAAATAATGATTATAAATGTTGGTTTAAAAGGGTGAAGTACAAATGTGAATTTAACAAGAAGTTGTAGATTTTTAACACTGTACACAAACTCCTTTATTACAAATAAATATTTATGCTTCTAAAAAAATAAATAATAATTTATCTAAACAAATAAATAAATTAAATAAATAAATCTAAACAACAACAACAACAACAAAACCAAACAGAATGTGAAAGTAGAACGGGAACCAATAGGGAAGAAAGACATTCTGCAAGAGAGTGTGAAAACAAGAGAAAGTGATAAAGAGGTGAATTCATCAAATATGTTATATACACCTGTGGAATTAGTTTAAAAAAACAGTTAATTAAAAAACTGGAGATGTCTCAACAGTTAAGAGCTGTGGATGGTCTTCTGGAGAAGTTGGGTTTGGTTCCTAGCACCCACATGGTGGTTCACAATCAACTCTTCGTAATTCTAGTTCCGGGGGATCTGACTCCATCTCTGGCCTCCTTAGGCACCAGGCACAGACATACATGCAGGCAAAATGCCCACACACATAAAATAAAATAATAGAGAAGCAAAATAAAATAGGAATAAATAGAAATACCTCACTGTGTGTCAACCCAAAACAGTGTTCACCATAGCAAGGCCTATGTTCTTACCATGGGTTACTGGCTACAAATGTTATGGAAAACTCTAATCGTGTCAAATCTTGTCCACTCCTAAACTGAATCTGGAATTACAATCTTTAAAACTAAGACACTACTGTTCCCATCTCCTCTGGACCTCATTTCACACAGTAAACACTCAACAGGCAAAAGAGACCCCCCCTCCTAAAAGAGACCCTCCTCATACATGCACTTTTTTCTTTCCTCCAATGACTGAGTTCCTGTCTACATTAAGAAAGTCTAGGTTTCCAAAGTCAGCTATGCTGAATTTGCTGACTCATGGTGAACCAACAGAAAAATTCTAAGGCTTCATTCATATAAGCCCACAAACACAAAAGAAATGCCCATGCTTTTCCAGAGGGAAATAGACACGTGAGCTGTGGTGCATGCAGACAATGGAACAAGAATTCCAAGAAAGCAGAACTGAGCACAGAGGAGTCCAGAGTGTACACAATTGAGTTATGGAGGCCATTCCAGAAAGACTTTTTGATTCCAGCTGTGGGGAACACTGGGGGAAAAAAATTACAAAGACAGGAAATGGAGCCAGGTGGGGTTCATGTCTGTACTCCTAGTCAGAAGGTGGAGGCAGGAGGGGCAGAGGACCAAGGCCAACTTAGGCTGCACAGTGAATTCCAAGAATGTCTTGGCTACAGATGAAATTAAAAAAAAAAAAATGCTGGACAGGTGAGAGCCTGGGAACGTAGCTCTGTTGGTAGAGTGTTTACCAAGCGTTGTCAGGGAAT